GTTCAAGTCACTACACAGAAGCAAACAGAAACCTTGGATGACAGAAGACAACATCATTTGGAAGTGCAAATAATCTCTACCTTTTTCTACACAAAACACAGAACTTGTTCAAAAATAATCAGGCACAGGCAAGCAATGAAACCAAGAAAAACAACAAATACCAGAAACAGACCCCCACAAAAATAAGGCTTAATGAAGCTATCAAATAGAATTAGACTATAATATGTTCTAGGAAATAAGAGATAACATTTCAAATTTCTGGAAACTAAGAATCAAAAGGAAATTCTAGAATACAAAAATTCAGTAGTTAAAATTTAACATGTAGATTTAAAAGCAGCTTGGGCACAAGCAAAAAGAGGATTTAAAGTAATTTTGAAGACACATCATAAGAAAAAACATAGATTGAAGCATGGAGGAACAAAAATATGGAATACATGAAACTACAAACAAGAAAAGAAGGAACAAAAAAAGCTATACCAAAACACAGGCTATTGGAATCCCAGAATTAGAAAACAAGAATAGATGAAAAACATCATTTGAAGTATAATAACTTAGAGTTTTCCAAAACTGATGACAAATATATTTTTTAAAGATTTATTTATTTATTTGATAGGCAGAGTTACAGAGAGGTGGAGGCAGAGGCAGAGAAAGAGAGGTCTTCCATCTGCTGGTTCACTCCCAAAATGGCCACAACGGCTAGAATTGGGCCGATCAGAAGCCAGGAGCTTCCTCCAGATCTCCCATGTGGGTGCAAGGGGCCCAAGGATTTGGGCCATCTTCTACTGCTTTCAGAGAGCGAGATCATAAGTGGAGCAGCTGGGACCCCAACAGGTGCCCATATGGGATGCCAGCACTGCAGGTGGCAGCTTTACCTGCTATGCCACAGCCCCAGCCTCGTGATGTATTGACAAATATTAAGCCTCAGAAACAAGGTGCAGTAAGAACCCTACAAGGGATAATTATCAAAAACTACATGTAGACAAATCAGAGCTTCTAAAATCCAAAGATGGCCGGCGCCGCGGCTCACTAGGCTAATCCTCCACCTTGCGGCGCCGGCACACCGGGTTCTACTCCCGGTCATGGCGCCGGATTCTGTCCCAGTTGCCCCTCTTCCAGGCCAGCTCTCTGCTGTGGCCAGGGAGTACAGTAGAGGATGGCCCAAGTGCTTGGGCCCTGCACCCCATGGGAGACCAGGAGAAGTACCTGGCTCCTGCCATCGGATCAGCACAGTGTGCCGGCCGCAGCGGTCATTGGAGGGTGAACCAACGGCAAAAGGAAGACCTTTCTCTCTGTCTCTCTCTCTCACTGTCCACTCTGCCTGTCAAAAAATAAAAATAAAAAAAAAATCCAAAGATAAAATTCTTTTAAAAGCTATTAAAAAAAAAAAAAGACAGCAGATTACCTCAAAAGAAGCAATAGCAAAATCTATCAGTATAGAAAAAAAAAAAAAAGATGATAATGGAATGGTATCTTCTAATGCTAAAAGCTGTTGCCAACCTAGCATTCTTTACCCAGCAAATATATTGCTCAAAGTGAGGGGCTGGCACTGTGGCACAGTGAGTTAAAGCCCCGGCCTGCAATGCTGGCATCCCATATGGGCGCCAGTTGGAGTCCTGGCTAACGCCAGGGAAAACAGCAGAAGATGGCCCAAGTCCTTGGACCCCTGCACCCACGTGGGATATCCAGAAGAAGCTCCTGGCTCCTGGCTTTGGATTGGCTCAACTCCAGCCATCATTTGGGGAGTGAACCAGCAGATGGAAGACCCCACTCTCTCTCTCTCTCTCTCTGTCTCTACCTATCTCTGTAACACTGTCTTTCAAATAAATAAAATAAATCTTAAGAAAAATAAAGTGAAATAATAATTATCACATGTAAAAAAATCAAAACTAAGATCTTCTCACCATCACATCCACACAAAAGAAAACATGGACACTAATGGCAACTTCAGACAACCAGGAAATCACAAGGAATAATGAACAACAAAAAGCATAAATAGTCACATACAGGTAAATAGAAACATTCATAATATAAAACAATAACAAGAATTCACTGTGTTATTTAAAATGTATATGTAATTAAAAGAAACAACAAAGCATATAAAAAAACAAGACTCAAATAAGGCCTTAAAAAAAAGTTGTCACATCTTAAGAAAAGATTGTTTTGTGACCATGCAAACAACTACTAGAGTGAGCTTTATACCTATTTCACAAATAAGTGACAACCATTTCATTTCACTGGTCAGTATGTGAAAGCCAGCTACTGTCTATGAAATTCAATCAGTGACTATTCCCATAAAATGATCAGATATTTAAAATCTCTTAGATATTTAATTTTTGAATTATTTATTTTTATTTCTTTGAAATAGAGAGGGAAACAGAGAGAGACATCCAGCCATCCACATTGTCCAAATGCCTGCAAGAGGTGGGACTGGGCCAGGAGTTAAAGCTAGAAGCCCAGAATTCTATCTGGTCTCCCACTGAGTAGCAAGGACCCAAGCACTTGAGTCATGACCTGTTGCTGGATGGGAAGCAGAGGAACCAGCATGTGGGCATCCTAAGCAACAGTTGAACCATGAGCCAAATACCTGCTCTAGGGTATATTTTTTTTAAAAGGGAATGAAAATGCCCTTATATTGTTAACTCTAACATTGACAGTATTTTTTTAGATAATAAAGAAAAATATCCTGTGCTGGAAAGCAAAGAAACAAATACTCTTGAGATTTAAAAGGAAGTGTCATCAAGGAAACACCCAGAGACTCTATCTACAACTCCTGATCAGTCTCTGGGGCAGCTCTGGTTTCTTTTATGTATATGGAAATTACAATGTTTCCCGTTCCACTACAGAACCAGGACTAACTGTTTTGTAAGAATATGAATTAGACCACTGCAAATGTGTGACTCCCCAACATTCCCAGTAGTTTGGTCTTCTAATAAAGACTATGAAAGGGTAAGATCCTTCCTTTGGTAACTGGTAAAGAAGATTCGTTTCTTAGTACCATGATCCCATCCGTACCTATCTTTAAGAACTCCGGTGTATCTTCAGAGTTTGTAATCACTGACAAGAAACCTGGATCAAATGCTTTCTAGCTAATCAGAATGGTAACACTGGCACTTTAAACCAACAAAATAGAGATGTTTAAAATTTTCCATTTTACATACTTTGATTTCATATTCCTAATAGATAACTTTAAAAACTAAATGTACTAAATTTAGCCCTGAGAAAATTTTAAAACACTTCTCTGATTGAAGTAAAATTATTTTCAATTAAAGGACTGTTCTGCCACTCAGGAGTCATCTGATTTACATAAACGCTAGTTAAGCACCACAGAAATTCTAAAATATATAATTAGAATGTCACAGATCACTTAATCCATTCTGTCAAAACAGGGATTATTTTAACTTCTGTTTCACTTCCTTTTAAGAAATCCTATTTACTTTATTTTCTCTAAAAGGAAAAAAAATTAGTAGGATAAACTTACAACATACTTCCCCAATCAAAATTTAAAATGATTCTGGTTAACCACAAATTGACTCAAGTAAAGTATTTTTTCTGATGTATTTTACTGAAACATGTCTGACAACATATAATAATGTCATATAATCACTGAATTACTGTTGTACAAAATTTAAAATCATTTCACTGATTATTATTCTTTATAGTCATTCAAATGCAAAAAGATCACTTTGGTCTTTAAAAATTGTCTAAATAAACAAGATACATTGCTAGACTAAAGTAAATAATTTTGTTAATAGCTCTTCTGAGGTTTAAAATATAACCATAAAAAGCTTCTATTAAGTAATACATTTCACTAAGGTGAATTCACAAAAGTAAAAAATAAATATAAACGACTTAGTTCTATCACTTTCACAGATCCAGACAGTATTTGGGAAACTAAATATAAAACATTCTTTTCGGGGCCAGCATGGTGGTATAGCCAGTAAGGCTGCTGCCTGTGATGTTGGCATCCCATATGGGCATCAGTTCAAGTCTCGGCCACTGCACTTTTGATCGGGTTCCCTGCTAATGGCCTGGGAAAAGCAGTGAAGATGGCGCAAGTGCTTGAGCCTCTGCACCCATGTGGGAGACCTGGAAGAAGCTTGTAGCTCCCTGCTCCAGCATAGCCCATTCCCAACTATTGCAGCCATCTAGGGAATGAACCAGCAGATGGACAATCTCTCTCTCTCTCTCTGTAACTCTTTCAAATAAGTAAACAATCTTTAAAAAAAAAAAAAAAAGCCTTTTCAATTATTTTTAAAAGTTTAAAAAACACAACTTCTTCAACTATTTGCCAGCCATAAATTATAGAAAAATTAAGATAAGGAAATACAATATATTATGAACTTCAAATAAATGTATAGCCATAATTTTCAATGTAAGTTCTATTTACTTATTTGAAAGGCAGAGAGACAGAGACAAAGACGGGCAGCTTTTTCCATTCACTTGTTCACGTCCTAAAAACCTGGCTGGGCCCGGTCAAAGCCAAGAGGCTGGGACTCAACCCGGGTCTCCCATGCAGATGGCAGGGACCCAAGTACTTGAGTTATTACCTGCGGCTTCCCAGGATGTACATTAGCAGGAAGCTAGAATGGGAAGCTGGAATCAGGAGCAGAGGCAGAATTTAAACCCACACACTCTTTTATGGGATGCAGGTATCGCAACTGGCATTTTAACCACTGTAACAAACACCTTCTACTAGCCATAATTTAGTGAACCCTCACTAATAATCAACACACACACTGATTCCAAATGAATAGTAGCTTTTCAGACCTGTCAAAAATAAAAATAAATAAAAAATAAATAAATTTAACAATCATCCCATTCGTAAGTATCCCATGAAAAGATCTGTGGGTGATTAATACACCTCTCACCAGACCCCTGTATGCTGTTCCAAACTTTCTTCCCACTTATATCTTCTTTCATAAAAAAAAATGTTACCTTGTCAGATTCTAAAAGATGAATCTTTAGAAATAATATCAGCAAAACAATTGTAAAATACTTACTGTCTTGTTTCGTAATCTAATTATGTCTGAGACAGAGCCAGCGCCGCAGTACTCCATAACAATCCAGAGATCTGTGTTCTTAAAGTAACTGCCATAGTACTTCACAACATACGGGCTAAAGAGAAATACACAAACTATTAAATTTAGTTAATTCCCGAAGAAACTTTTTCTCTTAATCACAATACTAAGTATTTTCAGCAATTCATAATGCTCTAAAAGGTATATTTAATGAGTAAACTTCTATTGTACATTGAATTTATCTAACTTTACCAACTGTGTACAATTAGGCTTTAATGCATGGATAAAATTTAACAGGATTACAAACCATAGGAGGCCTAAATGTTCTGAGCGATTCTTAAAAAAAAAAAGACTTTACTTTGGCAGACTTCTTATTTAACATAAGGAACAAATGAAAATATTTTCCTTTAACTAAAGCATTTTAAATATAAATCTTATGAAAGAGTTTGTATTCAGTCAAATATCAACAATCAACTTTAAAATATATTATTTTTCAAAGAGGCCCAAAAGAGTTTTTTAATCTTCTTTCATTTGGCCCTTTGAAAATTCTCAAAAAAATTAATTATAATGTTTTTTGCTTAATTGAGATAATTAAAATTACTAACAATTTGAAGTATTTCTGTATATGTGCTGCCGAAGTGAGCACACAATTTGAAGTATTTCTGAACTAAGTTTTATATCTTACATAGCAAAATAAACTGTTTATAGCCAAGATGCTTTCAAGAAGTCAGAGGAGAAAATGACTCACTATTTTTTTAATTTTTTTTATTATTTTTTTTTCACAGGCAGAGTTAGACAGTGAGAGAGACAGAGAGAAAAGTCTTCCTTCTGTTGGTTCACCCCCTAAATGGCTGCTACAGCTGGCGCACTGCGCCAATCCGAAGCCAGGAGCCAGGTGCTTCCTCCTGGTCTCCCATGCAAGTGCAGGGCCCAAGCACTTGGGCCATCCTCCACTGCCTTCCCAGACCGCAGCAGAGAGCTGGGCTGGAAGAAGAGCAACTGGGACAGAATCCAGCGCCCCGACTGGGACTAGAACCCAGGGTGCCGGCGCTGCAGGAGGAGGATTAACCTAGTGAGCCGCAGCGCCGGCCAACTCACTATTATTTATAAAAGGGGGGTAGGAAATGGTGCTGTGGCGTAGTAGGTTAGGCATCCCATTTAGGTGCTGGTTCAAGTCCCATTTGTTCCTCCTCTGATCCAGCTCTCTGCTTATAGCCTGGGAAAGCAGTGGAAGATGACCCCAGTGCTTGGGTCCCTGTACCCGTGTGGGAGATCCAGAGGAGGCTCCTGGCTCCTGGTTTTGGACTGGCCCAGCCTCAGCCATTGCAGCCATTTGTAGAGTGAACCAGTGGGTGGAAGACATTTCTCTCTGCCTCTCTCTCTCTCTGTCTCTGTCTGTAACTTTACCGCTCAAATAAATAAATAAAAATGTTTAATAAAAATTTTATAAAGGATATACTACATATGTTGATATATAAAATGTCTTTTTTTAAAGATTTTATTTATTTATTTGACAGGTGGAGTTACAGACAGTGAGAGGGAGGACAGAGAGAAAGGTCTTCCTTCCATTGGTTCACTCCCCAAATGGCCACAACAGCCATAGCCGTGCCGATCCGAAGTCAGAAGCCAGGTGCTTCTTCCTGGTCTCCCATACGGGTGCAGGGGCTGACATATACCCACAGTTAAGCTTCCCTTTAGAGGACAAACTGAATATCCTTCAAAAAATCCTCTTTAAATATTAATTTTCTCATTCAAAATTTTGAAAGGTGTTAAGTAATAATGAGTTCAGGATTACATTCCCTGAAAAGCACATGGATAATGTATATTTTATCTTGCCATATACACTGATATATATGTATTTATTTATTTATATATGTTGGTTTTATCTACAGTTCCTGGTTCATAACTCCCTCCACAAGGCAGGCCATAGAAACTCGAATTTCTCGTTCCCAACCATGTCATAGAAATGCCTTCCCCCACCTTTTTGCCTTGGAGCTAGGAATTTCTCTGACCTACCTTGTCTGATAAGAGATAAGAACGCCCTACCTCAGGAGTCCTGTTCCATAACCAAGAGAAGGCCATGCTGCACACAGAGGCCAGACAGGACTTGCTGGCTTTCACTGCTGAGCCTACCAGCATTATGTCATACCCTTTTTGTCCAGTGATATTTCAGAATGGTTGTCCATGCTTCAATCACATCTATGCAATGAAGTCTCCATAAAAATCCCCAAACACAGGATTTGAAGAGCTTGAGAATAGCTCCCCAGAGGAGTAATTTAAGCTAAGGGGCAAAGGCAGACTAGAAGTTAGCCAGCCTGAGCATCCAAGCACCAAGACTACTCACACAAAGGTCCTTAGAAAACAACAACCATGGAGATCAGTGTGTCTCAAATAAAGTAGAACATAATTTAGTTGTAGATACAGGCACACACCTGATCATGACAGGCCTCAAAAACAAGGTAAGGAGACTGACCTTTATTTGATATGCAAGAGAAAAACAGAAAAAAGAACTGTAGGCAAAACAGTATGATCCAATTTATACTTTAAAGGTTTCTCTGGCTGTTCAATAAGAACCAATACAGGGAAGCAATTATGGACCTGGAGATGAGTTAAGAAGTTACTTTAATCTTGCATACAAGTGATTGTATTAAGCACATCTTTTTATTGTCTGTATTTCTGATGTTTTTATATCTAAGACCCTGCTGAAACTAGAGTCCCTCTCAGGTTAGCTAATTGCTAGTTAGCAAAGGAATTGCCCTTGAGAATGACTTTCATACACAAATCAAGCAGCCCAGAGTCCCCATGCCTAGCCTCCTCCCTGGTTATATTCCAAGATCACAATTCCCCTGCCCTAATCTCCCCAGGGCCGGGCCTCAGACAACTAGGGAAAGCCCCTATGCTCCAGCGCCCACTAAAATTACTCAAACCAGCCTATGCTAAACCTGTTTTGTCCTGTCTCACCTGTTCTAGTGTGGTCATTAGGCATGAAATAAGACGCCAAGTTGACAAGAAGGGGCTGGTGGAAGATGACATGTTGTTTCAGTGAGTTGGTGGTGCTAACCAGGGGGAGAGGAGTAACTAATGGGACAGAATGAAATGGAGAGGAGATGCACAGGAGAAAATTATCAAGCCCTCATGGTTTACCCTTCCTTGCTGGTGCATTGTGTAAGTTCACTGTGTCTTCCTTGTCCCACCACGCGGTAGAGTTTTCTAAGTCATAGCTATTTGGTTTGGTGCCCAAACCATATAGAATTGGTTATTTTCATTAAATAATTTTCATCAATATCCTACTATAATCTTCTTCATGCTCTTCAAATTAACAGGGGCAATATACAAGTAAATAGTGTTTTTACAAAAGCAACGTGAATATTCTATGAGAACTGAATTGTTCTCACTTAGCAATTTGTTTCTTGTTGCTACTTAAGTCCAAATAGTCTAGGCTACAGAGGATAATTAATTGAAAGAAAATTGCAAGAAAGAAAGTCAAATGTTTTTTTTTTACAGCTTAAATGCTTTAAATATTAACTTGAATTTCATCTGAATTGAAAACAACACTTTGCTAAAGGTATATTTTAAAAGTGAATCCTCATATACATGAGCTGATACAAATTGCCAAGATTCATCATTAATTCCTCATTATAGTGATATTCAAACTTTTTTTTGTTTGGCTTCAGAACCAGTGTTCAATGGAATCTCACCTCGCAATATGAGCAAACAGAACAGACAAGACAGTGGCTGTTCTCGTAGAAGCCAGGGAAGGCTCCATGACACCAAGCAGACCAAGTAGAAATGCTCTGTCCCCACATGGTTAGCCTCTCCTCTTTACCCAGCAAATTCAAGCCATCCTTCAAGACTCATCTTAGGTGTATCCTCCCAGGAAAGCTTTCCTGATTCCCCAAGGTGAGGGGACTAGATATCTCTTCCAGCATGCATAGTTCCCCATGCTATCACATCACAACTTTTATCAGACTTTACTGAAACGGGATGGCCCATTCATCTGTCACATCCATCTAACTGTATGTCCCTCTAAACCTTGAGACTCATTCATTGTTACACATGTGAGCAATACATGAAGGCTACTTTCAGGTTTAGGTACTCCATGTGTATTTAATGAATAAATAAATGAGTAATTGTGTGCACTAACGCGTAACAACATATTTCTCTCGTTAAGACATGAGGAACTCTTTCTCTGGTGTATAAGCACCAGGAAGGGATGGATTGTGTCAGTCAGGGCTCCCTTGTACCCACGCTGGTTGGCACACAGTATTCACAGGTATTGCTGACCACTTCTCACCTCCATCCCATAAATGCTTTCCCTTGGAAATGCTGCAATCTTTTATTTATAGACACTGGTTTCTTCAACTCTGGGACTGAGGTCAGTAAATATGGGCCCCTACTGCATCTCAGTCATTAACTAGCTGCAAGCTCTTGAGTAACTCATGTAAAAGTTCCAGGTCTCATTTTCTGAACCTATAGAATCGCTTTTAAATGTATTTTAGTACCAGAGGCTTTTCCTTCAAACAATATTTTAGAATGAGCCACAAGACATACAAAGATAAAAGCAACGATGAGGTTTCTCATTCTGTTCGACTCTTCATTGTTTGAAAAAGACTCCTAAAGTACCTCTTTGGAAGAATTCAGTTTGAAAAACAATGAACTAGCTGACTTACAAAGGTCTAGCCTAACATTAACATTCTATGATTTATCCACTCAACAAATACTTATTTTTTAATTAATTTATTTGAAAGTCAGAGAAGAGAGGCAGGGAGAGAGAGAGGTCTTCCATCCAAGTGGTTCACTCTCCAGTTGGCCACAACAACCGGAGCTGAGCTGATCTGAAATCAGGAGCCAGGAGCTTCTTCCCAGTCTCCTAGGCCAGTGTAGGGGCCCAAGGACTTGTGTCATCTTCCACTGCTTTCCCAGACCATAGCAGAGAGCTGGAGCAGAAGTGGAGCAGCCAGGTCTTGAACTGGCGCCCATATGGAATGCTGGCGCTTCGGGCCAGAGCCTTAACCCACTGCACCACAGCATTGGTCCCTCAACAAATATTTATTAAATGCCTACTCTGTACCAGGCACTGGATTAGACAGTAAAGATTCAACAATAAAAAAGATGAGCTCTCAAATACTTATGCCAAAATACAATATTCAGTGCATATTTAATATCCACTAAAATGGACAAAAAAAAATTAAACATTCCCTGTAGTCTTTTTGTAGAGTGTAGAAGCAAGATAATCTGCCCAAAATACTTAAATCATTTTCTCAAACAAAAATCTCAATATATGTCTTCTGTGGGACTATATTGATTTATACTGTTATCTTCTAAATCATTTTAATGCCAATTTCTCACTAACACATCCTATATTAATATTAGTAGTCACTAGCTAAAACAGAATGCTTTCTCCTATCACTTCCTACTTTATTTTTGACTCATCCTATGTTTTGGCATTTAGGATCTTTTAACCAACTAATTTTTTTGATCCTTCACACTTTCATACTTACAATATGAATTTCATATTTTATCTAACGGCAGGGACTATTTTTACTGATATTTCTTTACCATTTAGTCAATAAATATTTCAGAAGTACCACTAAATGTGTAAGGCATTCTACTATAAAGCAGTACAAAAGCTCTAGAATTCTATTCACATTTTCTACCTCTTATAGTCTTCTTTTAAATGTTTCATGACTTTCAAATATGACATTTTGATATGCAACAGCTCATTTGTTTTTTAAAAAGTTTTATTTGAAAGGCAGAGATCAGAGAAAGAGGGAGATAAAGAGAGCAATACCTCATCATTTTTTTTCAGTCCCCAAACGCCTGATTCAGCGGAGGCAGAGCCAGGCCAAAGGCCAGACTTAGGAACTCTACCCAGGTCCCCCAAGTAGGTGGCAAGGAACCTAACTACTTGAGCCATCACCTGCTGCCCCCCAGAGTGCACGTTAGCAGGAATCTGGAATGGACAGCAGATCCTCGACTGCAACCCAGGCACTGTAATATGGGATACAGGCATCACAAGCAGCATTTATTATTATTATTATTATTATATTTTTTGAAACACAGAGTTACAGAGTGGGGCAAGGAGACACAGGAAGAGATCTTCCATCCACTGGTTCACTTCCCAGATGGTCACAATTTTCAGAGTTGGTCATGCCAAAGCCAAGAGCCAGGAGCTTCTTCCAGATGTCCCATGTTAGTGTAGAGACCAAAGGACTTGGGCCATCCTCTACTGCTTTCTCAGGCACATTCGCATGGAGCTGCATCAGAAGTGGAGCAGCTGGGACTCGAACCAGCGCCTATCTGGGTTGCTGGCAGTGTAGGCAGCAGCTTAACCTGCTATGCCACAACTCCAGGCCCCTCAAGCAGCATTTTAATCACTGCACCAAACATTCATACCTCCCCCTTGCATTCTTTACTTCCCACTCCCTTTAAAAGTTTAATGTAACTAGAATAAGGATTTCCCTAGGGTTCCCTCAACCTATAAAGCTCTTCCCAATACTCCTCATACATACAGTATCTGCTCATTCATTCAACCAAAAACATAAGCACTAGGCACTGTAATGGGTGCTGAGAAATAAAAATATGATTCTCCTCTCAAAGAGTGAAAGATAAAGATAGTGCAAATATTTCAGTAGGCAAGTCTGTAAGACCTAGTGTCATCAGAAAGCATCCACAAAAGGAATAAACATGATTCTCAATTTGTTGTTGATAGAAGGAAGGGCCAACATTGCGGCATGATGGGTTAAGCTATCATTTATGATGCCTGCACACCTTATGGGAGCCGGTTCTCTTACTAATAGGGTCCAATGTGATTAAGGGTGACAGTGTGTACAGGCTTCCTTGAGTAATCACCTGATATAATTCTGACAAGCAAGACATAAACTGAGCATTTCCGGGTATGAACCTTCCAGTTTCTTCCTGCTTGGAATACAGACATAGTCTGAGGCTGCCAGCAGCCCTTTTGTAGCCATGAGATAATAAACATGAGACAAAGGTCATATGCAAAGAATCAGACAACAAGAAAAGAAGCCTGAAGCACAGATGTTACTTTGTTGCTGCTGCTGGACCATCCCTATCACCAGATTTTTTAAGAAATGTTTTTTTTTTTTTTTCATCTACTTGAAAGGCAGAGAGAGAGAGAGTGATAAAGAGAAAAAGGTCCACCTACTGTTTCACTCCCCAAATATCCACAACAGCCAGGCCTGAGCCATGATAAAGCCAAGAACTCCATGTGGATCTCCCACATGGGTAGCAGGGTCCCAAGCACTTAAACCATCATCCTCTGCTTCCCAGGACACATCAGCAGGAAGCTGAATCAGAAGCATAGAAGCCAGGACTCCAACTGGCACTCTGATGTGGAATCCAGACATCCCAGGCATCAGCTTAACCTGCTGCACCACATTCCCTGCCCCCTTCAGACCTTTTGTTAGGGGAGAAAAAGAAATTATTTAGTCACTAGTTACAGGCTAAACGTAATCCTAACTGATACACTCTGCATCTCTCAGAAAGACCAGGTTATTTAACATTGAGTATATGATGCTACATTATCAGCTCCATTTACTACCCAACATCAGTCATACCAGTCTCAGCCTCAGACTCCCCACTCATCTTTAGCCTTGTCAGAACAGCACACATCAGTGGCTATGTTTTGGTTTGCTGTGGTTCACCTCTCAGTGGTTCATGTGCTGAATGCTTGGTCCTTGGTGTGGCACTAGGATGTGACATATCTTGAAGAGGTGAAGTGCAGTCAGAGGACCTTAGTTCATTGGGGCTGCGCCCCAAAAGGGACTGTGGGAGCCCAATTTCACTGGCTGCTTGTCTTCTGTGACTGTTTGCTTCCATACTTCTGCTGTTGTGCTGCATCCACATGAGGTCCTCACCAAAAGCCAAATGGAAGGGGCTGCTCAGACTGGGACGTTCAGCCTTTCCAAAGTGAGTTAAACACACTTCTTTCTATTATAATGTCAGCCTGCCTCAGGTATCTTGTACAGTAATGAAAAACTAACTTCTGCAGCTGTTTTTCACCTTTCTATCTATAATTTTCTTTACTCTCTTAATCCTCCATTTCTCCCTCAGCATTCCAGACTTCCTGAGTCCAGTAGCTGAGGAACATGCCCCGCCTCTTATCCATCGTCACTGCATCAGTATGGTGACCGCACTATATCACAGCTGTTGGCCTATGCATCTATCTTCCCTGTTATATCACCAGCTCCTCAAGAAGAAAAACAATCGTTTACATGTTTTGATATTCCTAGGTCCTTACACAATACGTCACCAACTGGGAGTGCTCAGTAAATGTTAGATGAATGAATTAGATTTTATATAAAACATGACTTTTAATTAGTAAAAATTGTTATGTTGGGGCCGGTGCTGTAGCACAGTGGGTTAAAGTCCCCGTCTGCAGTGCCAGCATCCCATATGGGTGCAGGTTCGAGTCCCGGCTGCTCCACTTCCGATCCAGCTCTCTGCTAAGGTCTGGGAAAGCAGAAGATGGCTCAAGTCCTTGGGCCCCTGCACCCTCATGGGAGACCCAGAAGAAGCTCCTGGCTCCTGGCTTCAGATCGGCATAGCTCCGGCCATTGCAGACATCTGGGGAGTGAACCAGAGGATGAAAGACCTTTCTTTCTCTCTCTTTCTCTCTCTTTCTCTCTCTGCCTCTCTGTAACTCTGCCTTTCAAATAAATATAATAAAGTTTAAAAAAAAATGTTATGTAACAGAAAATAAATTACCCACTCTTATCATCAAAAAATCATTTTCACCCATAAATGGTCCTGAGAACAGGAAAACTACTTAAGTATTTCTTTCATATGTTCCTTTATGTTATAAAATCATGTTTACTTTATAAGCAAAAAGCTGTAAGTCCGAAAGACTACACTACAAAGATAACCTTACCTTTTTTTAAAGGATTAGTCTTACTTCCAATGGGAACTCAGAAAATTAAACAGATAACAAAAAATACATTTTATTTTATATTTGCAAGTAAACAAGGAAATAAAATCTCCCCATACCTGTCACATTGCTGCATTATGGAAATTTCTTTAATTATTTCCTGAAGATCTGACTCCACAGGTACTTGTTTAATTGCAACAACTTGTCCAGATTCCTTATGTATTGCTTTAAATACACTTCCATAAGACCTAAAAGAAATCAAGATATTATTTTTTTCCTATTGAACTTTAAAACTAATTTATAAAAAGTCTACCATGAGTTTCTGTGTGAGGTCTTTTCTTTTTTAAAACAATATTTAAATGGTAAAATGTCAAAGTAAGTAAATAACAATAAGAAAAGTTAATGAATTATAGCTTATAAGACTTAAAATAATCAAGATAATGTACAGTAAGTTACTATTTCTCTGATGAATGAAAGAAACAGACTTACGGTTTGTCAACTCAAACAAATGCAGCGTTAAGAAGATACAAATGAGAATTAAAAGAATGAAATGTAGATTAAAAATAGCCAAAGTTGCAATTTGGGAGAAAAGGCTGATTTCAAGCAAAATAATCCCCAGAATATCAAAGTCCTACCCTTTTCAGAGTACTGAAGGCCTGCTGAAACCCTCAGCTGGTGACAGCATAACACCAAAGTTAGAGAAGCAAGGAATTTTCAGCTCTCTGGTTCTCTCTGAATTATAAATGCAAGGTCTCCTCAAATGTTCCTTTTAGGATCTTCTCAAGAGAAAGACCACACACTCACAAATGAGGGAGAGAGAGGATCTAACGGCTGCTGGCCCAAAAACAGTATCTGCTACAATTCTTGGAACTTTGCCAATTAAATATTCATATGTCATTTTTTTTGACAGGCAGAGTTAGACAATGAGAGAGAGACACACAGAGAAAGGTCTTCCTTCCATTGGTTCACCCCTCAAATGGCTGCTATGGCCGGCGCCCTGCACCGATCCGAAGCCAGGAGCCAGGTGCTTCTTACTGGTCTCCCATGCGGGTGCAGGCCCAAGCACTTGGGCCATCCTCCACTGCCTTCCCGGGCCACAGCAGAGAGCTGGACTGGAAGAGGAGCAACCAGGACAGAATCTGGCACCCCAACCCGAACTAAAACCTAGAGTGCTGAGGCCACAGTCGGAGGATTAGCCTAGTGAGCCGTGGCAATGGCCAAATATTCATATGTCTTAAAAGCAAAAACAAGGAAGTAATTTGTGCTTTAGCGTGAACCAGAATACTGCTACTTATTGGGTTCTTATTATAAACCAGGAACTACACTAGGTATTTTATATGCATTATCAAATTCAACCATCCCAATGGTGAGGAAAAATACTATTATCATCATTACAATATGAGGAAACAGAGACTAGACACAAGTCCAGAATTCAAACACAATCTGATTCCAAAGACCATGCTCTTCTCATTATCCTATTTCTACAGAAGAAAAGATAAGCAAGTCACTGGAAAATATGAAATGTTTCCTATCTTAGGAATCAATGCGTAATTATTTTCAAATTTATAATCTTTCAAAATAAGTTTAAAAGTGATAATAAAGCAGCTACTTCAACAAGGTGAATTTTATCCTATCCCCTATTTCTTTGGACTCTCTGAAGTGATTTAATCCACTTTGCTATCCAAATTCACCTTGGGTGGGGGGGAGGAGTGACACGTGTGTGTGTGTGTACGTATTCCTTCAAAAGCCACTGCAGAATTCAGTGCCAGACTGTCTATTGTCAATGAAGCAACCCCATCCCTGCTTTTAAGGACTCTTGAGCACTGCGGAAGAGAAGCTGCTGGGAACCCCATTTCCAGAATTCCTTTTCCTGAATGGTTCTCAGTTAAGAGTCTGCCAGTGAGAAGAACATGTATGAAACCTGAATGCAAAACACTGACCCATTATTCTCCAGATGTATTTGTAACAGATGCACCGGCAGATAGGATATACACAGTTGCTTCTTGCTGAGCTTCGGATCACCACCGCACTGCTGCAGGCTGACAGTAGAAGTTTCTCAAAGATTCTTCAGGTTTCCAGCAGACTCCTAGAGATCTGAGAAACTCCCACTTCAGGCTGAGCTCATCAGTGTTGGTTCTCCAATCTAAGCAGCAGCTTCCATGACCTCTGCATCGCTTGCCCTTCTACAGTTCATTTGAGCTCCCGACTTTACACAAAATGCCTCATACTCACAGTACACAGAGTAACCATAACCTGCTTCCAGTATTGTTTTTGGTAGATGAAGTGGTTCCAAGGGAAAGAAACTTAAAGATGAGAATCTTTAATTAGTTCTTTCTTAGATTTGAACACAGTGAAGTAACAAATAGAAAACTGAAAGACTGTGGTATTCAGGGGCAAAATAATTATGTAAATTTTCACCCTTGGTCATCTGGAGTCCAAGCAAAGCTTCAAAAGACCAAGTAGCTAAATAGGTAGAGTGTATGGTGAAAGCAGGGTGCAGAGGATACAGAGTGGGCTGCTGCCTCTGCCTATACTGGAAAAGGTAGAGAACTAACGTAACAATCTCAGGACTTAAATGTCCAGCTCAAGACTAGGAAAATCAAAAAACTTCTCAATGTCCCAAATGAATTTCTTAATTCTTAATTTCTCACAGGGCTGAGATTTCTGAAAAATCACTCAAAGTGTGACCATGTCGGCAGATTAATTTACACTGCAAACTGAATTCATATCACCAGGTCTCTTATGTCAAAGTTAAGGCATTTAGTCTCTTGGCCCTTCTCTCCTGCTCTCTCTCAGTTCCTCTCTCTAGCCTCCTCCTCTGGGCTCTTGGCTCTTGGCCCTTCTCTCCTGCTCTCTCTCAGTCCTTCTCTCCTGCGCTCCCTTGGCCTCTCTTGGCTTCTCTCCTTCACTCCTCTCTCTTCTCCCTCCTCTGTCTGTCTCTCACAGTCTCCTTCTCTCTTTTTCCTTCGCCGCCCCTGCACTCCAGTCTGTAGGGTGTTCCCCAATAAACTCTTTCCCTTACTCTGGTGTCTGGTGTGCTTTGCGACAGCTAACATTAAGATATAACATTGGTGCTGTGACTCGGATAGCCTCCTATTGGTAATCAGTGTCCCCCAGTGCTCTGGGGTCCTGGATTTCTGCTGGTCACAAAGCACACCTCTGGAACTCTTTCCAAGCCACTGAACACTCTGCAATCTCCATCCACACATCGGCCTTCCAAATTTTGAGGTTTCCGGGTAATCAGTACTCAATGAAACAGCAATGGGTAATTAGTACTTGTTTAGATGAATGCAATTTTAATTTAAATTAAATTCAGATAGAGATATAATATAATATCAGCATCATAAGTCATTTGGGTGTAACTGCTAATTTAAATTGGGTAAAACTTTTGTATACTCAACATGTTATATTCTATAAAAAACTATTTGGGTTAGTTTATAAACTGTCTGTGAAAAATAGTTCAACACTGTTTAAAGTAACTCAGGCTGAAATTTGATGTGTTACCTTAATCTTACTCTGAAAATTTTTAATGGATTATTTCAAAATTATATCAAGGACATTGGCAGATGAGAAACATCACAAGTATACTAATCTATTCCTCTTTACTGTAAAATTAAAATCTGATTCTCTGTTAAAGCAATGAGTTAAAGTGATATAGTCTCTTGATGTCTGTTAAATTCTAATTGTTTAAAAACAGCTGAATTTTTATTAAGAGCTATGGGTTATTTAAATATGTGCTTATTTTCAAACATTTAAATAATTACCTTGTAACAATGATCCAGTTTGGTCTCTATTATGTTATGATGTTAAAGAATCTACTTCAACCAGATATTTTGGATTTTGAGCCTTCTTGACATTCTTGACAGGCATTCAAAAAATCAAAAATCAAAGTTTCAAAGAATTTGGACTCTGAAATTTCCAGTAAATTTTGGACTTCGGTTTTTCCAGTTCAGGCCCAACTGAAAAAAATCGAAGGACCTATGTCTCTCATCTTGTAGAGACACCAACTAATCAGGCTATTTGGATTATATTAGAAGTACTGTCAAGATGTGAAGTGGTACTAAATTTAAAGTTTCTATAATATAAAATGGCACTAATACAAATGTCAGAATTAAAAAGTCTAATGATCTTGTGTTACTAGACATGATAGTTATCTTGGTGAGAAAGCCCCAGAGGCCTAAAGGGTTAAATGCTTTATAAAATCCTACAGGTGCTTTCAAAAATACTGTGAAGTAAGAAAGTGCCTCTTTGTTGGTTAATAAGTTTATAATTTTAAATGTAGCAACTTAGTCTTTTGTCACCCACAGTTTTGTATATCAGACTTGCTGCTCCTAAAACTAAAGTGTTGTTGGTTCTGTGTTTGGCTGTCCTCCTATAGGTTCCAATGGACTTTTTCCAGCCACATCTATTGTATTCAGTACTTTGGGATGACTCTGTGAACAGATGAAGCCAATAATATATTAAAGGTACCAACTGTAAAAAAGTATGGTTAGCTGAGGTTACTAAAACAAAAAGTAATTCAAATCAATTGGTAATTTACAAACAGGAGTTAGATTTTTAAAAAACCTATTAAAACTGTTTTATTGTTCTATCTGTTATGTTGTATGTGTATACATATTTGGAAAAATTTACTAAGAATTTTATTTTAATTGGCTTATAGATAAGATTGTCCATAAATTTAAACAGCTAAAATTATTCAAAGATATATTTTAATTCGTGTGACCTGAATCTCTGCATCATGTTTTAAACTTGTTGATAGAAAGAAACTAAAAACATTTTATATGCTTGTGCTGAAATTTGCTGGTTAAACAAGCTACATCATGTTAGATATTTAAGAGATGTTTCCAAATATATGTATTAATATTTATGGAAGGCATTGGACCTTCTGGTAAATGTTTTCTTAAGTTGTTATCTAATGGTTGAAACTGCTTTCTAAGTTTTCATGTGCTATTGCTATTGTCAGTAAGCGATCTGGGACTGGCTCCCCCATTTCTCTATTCTAAGCCCAACTTGTTCTCTCATTTCTCTATTCTCTTTGAGGTAGGAAACTATTTCTATTATGAAGGAATCTCCAAGATTCAAAATTTGATTTTAGATCTTATAAAAAGAGATGGCTAACAGATTTCTGTAATAGCATAGCCAAAATAAGAGCTTAAATTATAATTTCTTAGCTAGATTTACTTCGCCATCAGCGAGGTAAACAGTAAGCAGGAAAGCCTCCCTTTCAGAACAAAGAGAAAGAAAGTTT